TAATGTTTAAATACTGAATATAATTGAAGAAATTTTATACAAACTATATAGGAGTGAATTAAAGAAAAAAAATGATTTGTTGACATGGCTACTAATATTACCTAAACAAATTTCAAAAGTAAGTGCTTGATTGTTTTTACCTTTGCACTTTAAGTAACTGATAAGTTTAAAATAAAATAAGACAAAAAAATGATAAAAAATTAATAAATGAAAATCTAATTATTTCAACTTAAAGTTTATTATAATTATTTATTTTCAGATGGGTTTTGTGGATATTCTAGTAATTTCAATGGTTAAAATCATGAGTCGATTGAAGTCAGACCACCATGGAAAACTTGAGAGCACTGATATTACCCAACATATGCTTACAAGTGACTCGCTTCAAGAGGTATATCTTGGAGTTCTAGTGAGAAGCAGTGACCAGTGGAGTTCAACCAGGTCTGTTGTGAGGTAGTAACTCACTGATGACAATGGTGGATGTGTCGCTCACTTTCGTGTAATAGTTGAGGTTAGACATTAACACCGTTAGATGTCGGCTCAGTGGTCTGGTGGTTAAGTGCTCGCGCGCGAAATCAGTAGGTCCCGGGTTGCGCACTTCTGAGGAGTCCCACAATAGGATGAAACAGCCGTCCAGAGCTTTCAGGTTTTCCATGGTGGTCTAGCTTCAACTGACTCATGATCTTAATCCCTGAAATTATTATTTATTTATTTCCTGATTGTTTGAATTTCAAAAAAGATAATATAATTAGAAATTAATGTTAGAGATAGAAATTCACTTGGTATTGTATGTTTGAATCTTTATATTGATGTTTGTGTGTACTGTGATTATTGCCTTGATATTGCCTTAAATCACAAGTATCATAAACAAAGATGGGTAGCGGATGACAGCTGAGTGAATATCAACTCCGAACTACAGGTACGTTCAGCTGACGAGTCTCAAATAAGACGAAACGCGCGTCCTAGATTCCACTGCTAGCCACTATCCATCTTTAGATATAATGTTAAAGACAATCTAACTAAATGAAACTAGGGAGAAAATTATGATAAAGATGAAAAAAGAAAAGTTATATTATTGAACATCATTAAGATTGGTAGATAATTGTGTATAGAATAATTGAAAAATAAATTATCCCTCTGCATTGACTTAAAATTTCAATAATGAATTGGAGATTTTGAACTTCAGTAAAAGTGATAACTTACGTTGGAAATGATAGAAAAAAGTATATGTGGATTACATTTAATAAAAAGCATCTAGATTATCCAATTAGTTAATAATAAAATAATGTTACTATGAACGAATTGAAAGATAATTTACAAATGTTTATTAACCATTCCTATGAGTTAAGGTTAAATGAACATTCAGTTGTAGATTATATTTTATTTAGTTCTTTATTCATATACTATAGTGTCATTATTAACCTATAATTTTAGAAATAACGATTTAAATTAAAAGTTTTAACCTAATAAATTAAGAACTATTCGTTTCTATGACAAACGTAATGAATATAACCCAAATGAACTTTAAATTCACTTGGGATTGTCTATCAGAATCCTTACATTGATGTTTAGGACGGAAATTGATCAGTTTCTTATTGGCATGTAGCATATTGTGCAGATTGTTTCGATATTTGCCTTCAGTCAGAAGCATTATAAGCATATATGAATAGTGAATAGCTGTAGAATCTAGGACGCTCGTTTCGCCCTATTTACGACTCATCAGATGGATGAACCTACATCTGAGTTGATATTCACTCTGAGACTGGAACCCAGTATAGTTCGCTTCAAATGCCATCGCATTATCTACCCAGCTACTGAGTTCTGATAGTTACCAGCTTGTGCAATTGAGTGGGGTTCAAATTCATTTTTGTATTGTTTGTTTGAATATTCCCATTGATGTTGTGAACTGCAGTTGATCAGTCTATTATTCGTGATAATAGTTTAATTCAACCAATATTATTCGTTTCACTTTCGATATGATTAATCTATAACAACAGGAACTTTTAACTAGCCATGTGAAATAACTAAAAATCTCAAATAGGAGGAAACGTGAATCCTGTATTCCAATGCTAGCCAACAACCATCTTTGTTTTTAATGTTTGTAACAAGGCAATATCAAGGCAATCCAACAGGATGGACATATGCCAACAACAGACTGATCAATTCTAGTCGTAAACATCAATGTAAAGATTCAAGTAAACAATACCAAGTGGATTTAAACTTCACCCCATTGCACAAGTTAGTGACTTTCAGGACCCAGTAACTATGTGAATAACCCGATGGCATTTGAAGCGAACTGTACTGGGTTCTAGTCGTAGAGTCAAAATCAACTCTGAGATGCGAGTATATCCATGTGACGATTCTCAAATAAGGCGTAACGCGCGTCCTGGAATTCATTACTAGGCACTGTTATTTTTTGCTTTAAATGAACTTTGTTGTCAACGTTTCATTCAAAACATTTCCATAGTAACTTAACACATGTAAAATGTATATCAAAAAACTTAGTTTTTGTTAACTTATTGAACTAACGAATTGTAACAATTTTCAAATACATACAGAAAAATAGGAATATCCAAATTTATAGAACATGCAATCTAGAATTAAATATACCCTTAGTTGTAAAGAGAAAATTAGCTAAAGATCTTAATCATTCAAAATTTAAGGCGTACACTTAAATAAAACTAGTTCATAAAAATAAGTAGACAAAATAACTAAATTTACCCTTTTTATTCTTAGTATACAGTTATAAAACAACAATATTATTTCAACTTGGAGTCATTTTATTGATTGTAATGATATTAAAAACCAAAAAAAAAAAACTTAGTAGGAAATATTGTGTAGATCAAATATTTATTCATTTTTATACCGATTTTTAGTTGATATGGGAATTAGAAAATAAATAAATAAATGAAAGTACATAATACTGAAAAATAGGCATTCACTTAACACTGACAACAATAACCCAAAAAAATTTTTTTCATTATTTTTTTAAATGTTTCCTAGAAATAAAAATAAACTAAAAGAAGAATTAATAATTTTATGCATCAATAGTTTTACAATTATTTTGGATGGTTTTACTATTTCGCTTGTAAGAAAAAAAAAATATATAGCTTGGTTAACATTCTGAAGTATTAGTTATTGAACTAATTTCTATATGAAAATCAATATTGAACTCTAGGTGACAAGTTGTTAAGTAGAATTAAACATCTTTTCTAGAATTCACAACAGTCCACTATGCGAATAATAGTATATCATTTATAAATAATTTTAAATTATTAGAGTTAGGAATTTATAAAGATTGTTAATTTTTGTAATTTACATCATGAACTAGCCTGATTTTTATAACAATTAGTCCCTTTGATAAATTCCGATAATGTAATAAGAAGACGAAGATTATTAGAATTATGTGATATATTTGCGCAATACATTTCGAATAATCTGACCACACATATACTTGTCAAGAGCATTTATATATAAAAAATAAAAGGTCAACTAGACAGGAAACGGGGTAAGAGGAGATAAGGATAATGATAAGAGTAATAATAATAATAATGTGAACACAAAGCGAAACCTAATCACTGTGGCTAATAAGTCAATATTACCAGGGTAGGTTTAAGGTAAGAACAAACTGTTTTTGAAAACATAAATGGGGTTTGGATTTTCGGATGACTAAGGCTTCAATAAACCTTAGTATACGCCCTTTTTACACTTTTACACAAAATGACAAAAGCCGGGTTTAGATCAATCTTATGACGTCTTTCAATTATATGTTTAGCAATAGAGGATAATGGATGTTTATCCTCTGGGCCATCTGATTGTATTTGTTTCTGCAGTCATTTGGGTACATGTTCACTAACCCTAATGTTTAGTAAATATTGAAAACGAAGACATATTAGACAGATATTTCGTTCAAGTATAGTAATCCTCAGCCACGACTTTATCAGATATCAAACTCAAAAACTAAAGGGTTTACGATGAGCCTTTGAGCCTTAAATCAGTGAATCAAAACTCAGTAATTTTAACTACTAGTTCTAACCAGTTTACATTATTCAGTGACTTTTCTCCACTTTGATCACTGATATATATATTCTACATCTAACATAAAAAAACATAATTCTTTAGTCAATTGTTTCATTTCGGATGTAAAGTAAATCACTGCTTGTATTAATCAAACATTATAATTGAGCACTATCAAGTAATTCTAAAATAACACTAAACAGTTATAAATTACTTCCTAAGTTTTAATGCATATCAAATACTTCCTTCAAATTACATTAATCAGCACTAAATAAAATATTATAAACACAGTATATAGAAACAGTTATCTTAATCTGTTCATTGTTATTTTTTACATAGAAAAAAATAAGTAGATTTAGTAATATTTTAAGTGAATTCATTGTAGTAGTCTGGTGGATATCTTTATTTATTGTTAATGTAACTTTGATCATCTGAACAGCTTTCCATATATATATTTATATATATTCTATTACTATTCCACCCCTCCGTTGATTTGGTAATACTACTCACATGTCTGTGCTACTTCAGATAAAATGCTACTTTCTCTTCCATAAACGTTTCACCTATAAATGAAAAAGAAAATTGACAATTCTTTGTCTTTACATATATTTATATTCAATATAAATTGTATATTGTATGCCTATATTCCATTGTATCTGTGTATTCACTCAAATACTATTTTACAGTTGATAGATCAGTAGAACAACGTGTACAAACACACAAACATACATATATATCCTCACTCACACTCACACACACACACAACACATATACATTTTAGAGTATTTAAATGAATTTAGTATCCATTTATTTTTAATTTAACAACATTTTATATTAATTTATTAAAGTCATTTCGAAAACTTCTTTTTTTCCCTTTTTGATACAAAACAATCTAATGGTCATTGATAAAAGGAATTAATTAATATCGATAAAACTACTACTACTACTACTACTACTGCTACTACTACTACTACTACTACTACTACTAATAATAATAATAATAATAATAATAATAATAGCAATCTTGAATGCATTCATTTGAGAAGAAGGCAATTCTATTACTGTAACTGTTCATCTACCCTATTCTATGGTGAATACAACTTTCTACATTTCATGTAAGAAAAAAATAAACAGTACACAGTGTATACAGTTTTGAAGGCAGAAAAAATGTTATTGAAATAAATAGTTCCCAGAAGAATTTGATAAAAAAAAGAAAAAAAAAATAATTAAGAATAACAATTGGATCATTTAGACAGAGATCAATTTTATTGAATTACAGTTCATTTATATATTACATAACACATCCTTCTTATTCATCTTCTTATTATTGGTACTTCTTATTACTCATTATTTCATTACGTAATAGCGATATTATTTTAACTTTAACAGTTCATAATCAAAAAGTAAATCATGTTGAATGAATTTGGCAAATAGTCTAATTCGTCAATACCATTTCGAAATTTTCTCTTAATTAAGTAAGTCTGAAGTATTTTTTTTGTTTGCTTATACAAATTTTGTATGTGTATTTTCAATGAAATTTAATTCATGAGTTTTTACTAAGCTAGACCATCATTGATAACTTGGAAACATTGGATGAACATTTTATTCAAAGTATGATACTTCTCAGTAGTGTGCATCTACGATCCTACATGTAAGACTCGAACCTAGGACCTTCAGTTTCATGCACAAACACTTCATCTCTAGACCATTGAATCAGTATCCAACAGTGGTAATGCTTAACTAAATGTTCAAATTGTAATTAATATTACTAGTAAAATATAAATTGATTGTTCAATATTTTTTTTGTAATTGTTAATGTATTTTGATGATAAGCTTTTCCATAAAAGACATGAAGTTGTTATCATTTTATCAGCCATTTAGATTTCTTATTTTAAGATATACTCACCACTTCTATTCCATTTTCTGTAATCAATCAATCTTTGAATGAATTATTTATAAAATTATAAATAAACTGGGCGTTTAATGATAGTTATCTATAAATTATTATATTACTGGCTAGTAAATTCTATTGGTGTTTTATACCATACATATGTTCTTAGTTATTAACGTATATAAATATGTAAGATGTCAATATCAAGAAGATATGTAAATGATGTATAGCCTAGTGTTTTTTAAATCAAGGGTCGGACCGATTTTTCATTTAGTTGTAATGCACAGTGAACCCTCACCTACACTTCTCACTCCTTTCCTCAGAGCCTTATCACTTTTCGTTCGGTTATAACAAGTGGTTGTTTAACTTTATTGTCAAATCACAAAATATATATTTATATTTGATTCACATGTTGGTGTATTGATGCTCTGGTCATCAACGATATAATTTAAGTATCGTCACTTTACTTTTCTTCTGTATATTTTAAACCCCTTAAATTAACAAACGCTGGTAAACTTGCTGTAGGGATTCAAAAAACTGAAGATAATGATAAGCAAATTGATTATGAAGCACTGTCAGCGGGAGTGAATAAAATTCTAACCCACCATCAAAGAATTTGATACATACCGCTTCAATATAAATTTTTATTGAGAAGGAATGTTAACCGATGGACCAATTAAAATCTGTGTTTGAATAACTAGTTTTGTTCAGCAATAAGACCTAGCAGTCGTGCTTTTTTTTAACCAAAAATTTTGTTGCTAACATACTTAAAGTGATATATCAACATGTATATAATCCCTTGCTTGTTATAAGTTTGGACCCCTGAAGAGCTTAAGTAATTCTCATTTTTTCAATAAGTTCATAGTCGAGGACACTTCATCGTGTCATTAAAAAACAGATTATAGGAAACCTGTACAACATCAAGAACACAAAACTATCTCGCAAATGGTTATCACTCATATCAATATTTAATGATCCATTATTTTCGTTTATTTATTCAATTTGTCAACGTTCATTAACTAATGACATTAGATCTCATCGAGCTGTATTATGACTTAGTCAAAACTGAATGTATTGATCGCTAGATTTTGGCTTACTAATGCAAAGCTAACTCATTTACCAAGAAATATTAAGATTTTCGGTTTTATCTCAAAGTACATCATAGATTAGCGTGATTAGAGAAGTCATATGCTCAACAAAAAAACATTTCTCCAGTATTTCCTGGTTTTACAAAGATTTCTAAATAGATATTTTTCTATGAAAAAACAAAAGATTTCTCCTAGTCTCCAGAATCTCCTTAATTTAACTGACTATAAAGGAGAAGATAAAGAATAAACGTTAGGACTTCTGTAAAATCACATTTCTTTCTATTTATAAATTGTTTATCTCTTATTAAATTTCTGACAACCATATTGCTTGTCAGTCGCAAATGCATTGGAATTTCACACACAGAGATCCAAATGTTAAGTATCCTATTGGATTTTGATTTTCTGCTTCGGTAAAAATATGAAATGACAATAGTCGGGATTAAGAACAAATATTAAATGGTATGGGTTGCTAAAAAATTGCTTTTTATTTCACTTTTACTAAAATTATCAATAGAATTACAATGACATATCAATAATATTATCTTTCTTAAAAATACAATTCAGTTATACAAAATACTATTGAAATAAACCATGATGGCTTGTTTTACTCATAGAAATAAGCTATTAATATATATGATTACATAGGTTAGCACGTCAAATAGTTTGACCTCAATAACAACTTAGATTGATGAAATATATATCAGAAGGGGTTTTGTGGAGATTTTAGAAATTTCACTGACTGAAATCATGAGTCAATTGAAGCTAGACCACCATGGAAAACCTGGAAGCACTGGACGGACGTTTCGTCCTGGGAAGTCCCATACTAGGACGAAACGGCTGTCCAGTGCTTCCAGGTTTTCCATGGTGGTCTAGCTTCAATTGACTCATGATTTCAATCAGTGATATATATTTCAGTTTGAACAGAAAATATACATATATAATGTTATTTTCGCCTGCCATCAATATGATTGTTTACAGACAAAAATAAAATTGAATAATTGGCCACGGAGTAATAAACAGTGTCATACTGTTTAATTAACATTACTGATCAAACTCTATCTAACAGTTCACAACTTAGTCATGACTCAACGTTTCGATAGATCATGTTAGATACTGTTCAGATGCAATGTATCAGTAAAATGTCATGAACGTAGAATGTGTGCTTATCTAAAAATAAATTATTGCTCCTTGTGGATAATGAAGTTACACTTATTGCCCCAGACACGGATCTATCAAACTGCTTCAATCATGAGATCTTTAATAACAAAAGCATTTCACTTTTCCCTTGACTACATGTAAGCATATATAACTAAAAATATTCTACTTTGTTCCCTTTGTGCAACATAAATGTATATTTATTCAGTAATATTGTTTATTTATTTTAAAGAAATGGCTACTGTGGTGAACAAGAACACAAAAAGAGACACCAGAACGTGTTTCAACACAAAAGTACAGATTCTCTTATCAAAACCAGAAAACTATACAGGAAATTCTTCATTTGTAAAATGTCACTCAATTGTTTCAAACATGACTGTTACTTCTGAAAAATGTCAATCAATCATCTCATTGTTCTTTAGTTTCCACACTAATCATTCTTTGTTCTTCTTCTCTTTTCTTCGATCTTCCTAACCTACTTATATCTGTCGACATTGATAGCACACATCACACTTCCACTCTGTCACGAGATGTTAAAAATTCAATTTCCTACTCAATGTGAGATTAAATATATAATACTAATTTGTTATTAACTACCTTATCAACCCTCAATTTATTTGATATCATGAAATCTAATCTTAGTATTGATACTTCGTTGATTATTGCTAGGTAGCGCTTAACGTACATAAGACCCTACCTACTAATTGTCTCTAAAGAATTAAATAAAATGGTATAGTATGTATATTGAAATGAAAATGACACTTTATATTTTAGTACAGTTCCATGTAACTCCTTGTTGATAGGATTTTTAACTTCATAATGGTCACTAAATATTTCTTATAACTTTCATACAAATCAGTAGGACTCGAACAATTACCTCATATATATTATTTACTACGGACTATATGGCCTTTTATAAATGGTTAATTGTATAGAAAAGTTTTATTTTGTTTACTTACCAATTATATTTTCACACATTTTAGTTAAGGAAACAAATATATTTCTTGTTTGAGTATGGTCATTTTTTGACTAAAATGATATCATAAATCTAGTTCAATGATAACTTTAATTAGTCATATAAATTAATACATTAAGTATCATAAGTGACACATAACAAGTATAATACAGGTAAGATGTATGAACAACAACATACTTATATGGTTTGTTTTTCGACAGGAATATCAACAGCTAATGAATGGATTGTGAGAAACACAACTATATTACAAGTTTGGGCATAATTTTTATTAAAAAATGACAGAATATCAAACACTGTGAGATACAACTATGTATATATATACAAATAAACCGTAGAAAGTAACTATCCTGAATCCATTATTCTAAACATATGCATCAAACAGAAACCAATTTTTGATTAAAATAGCTTATTTCAGTTCACTCATTTATGAGTTCGAATATTGAAGATAACACCGGTTCCCTTAAGATCACAAACATGCCTCGTAGACAAATGTCTACTGAGTTCCAACTCAAACCTTTCACAATTTACCTTCAAATCTCAGAATTTACAGAGTGCTCTGTGATATCAAATTGCATAATCTACTGAATACATTGCGGTTTGTTAAAAGTAGATTGATATCACTATAAACCAAATGACAAGATATTGTCTTTAGTTCTTTGCAATGTAATTCCAACGAAAGACTTTAATTCAAGAAGTGAATTTCGACTCTAAATCATGTAATGATGCATCGAATAAAGCTTTTATGATAATTTTATTACATTAATTAAACCAAAGTTTGATTTTCATCTATCCTGTATCAACTGATTTGTAACCTATTTAACTGTACAATCGAAAGTAATAATTAACACTTTCATTTGCAGCTAACTGTGAATTTTAAAAAAAATTCATAATACTTTACAAAGTTTTATTTTGTAAATGTTCATTGGTTTCTATCTGTTGTGGTGTGTGCTATTGATGTTGTCAGATATAAGTAGTTTGTATCATCCATCGAAAGTGAAATATCTGACGACAGAAGGTTAGGAAGATCGAAGAAAAGAGGACGAGAACGAAAAAAAATGGTGGGTGTGGAAACTAAAGAACAATGAGATGATTGATTGACATTTTGCAGAAGGAACAGTCATGTTTGGAACAACTGAATGACATTTTACAAGTGAAGCAATTCCTGTATAGTTTTCTGATTTTAATAATAGAATCTGTACTTTTGTGTTGTAACACGTTCGATTGTCTCCATTTGTGTTCTCATTCACTACACTAAACATTAGCCTACAAAATTCAGATAAGACGCTTTTTATCAAATTCATCAAAATAAAAATTATTTGAATAGTTAATTCTTATTTTCCAAGGTTTATTTGTCTTTTTTTTTTT